ACTTGACACTTAACTAGTTGTGTGACCCCGGGTAAGTCACTTAACCCCCTATTGTCTATCGCAAAAAAAAAAAAAGAGATTCAGAGTTAGGGAACTTGGGATCAGGAGAAGAGTTGGACATCTGGGAAAAATGGAATAAAGGAGGCAGGTTGGGGCATCTCACCAGGTTCCAAGTCGAGGATCATGTCTAGTGCCTGCCTATAGTGGGGCACCTGTTCATTAAGCCCTGTGAGGTTGAATTTGTCTTGGATATAGTCTTCATCCACCTGTTAGAATGCAAAAGTGAGGGAAGAACTCTGGGATCTGGATTACCAGCACCACGATGGATGGGGAGATTTTACCACTGATGTGTCATATACCAGAACTATAACCATTTTGCCCTCAAAAGGGTCTTCCATCTCAATCCTCCCCTTACTGCTACAGCAGACAGTTGTTTGCCCTTCCAATCTGAGAGGAATCCCAACAAGCCATCTCAGTCTTTCTGCTTTATGACAACAGAGCAAGGGTTCTTAATCTGGGGTCTGTGAACTTGTTCTCCCCAACTCAGTATTTCAATAACTATACCAATACATTTGGTTTCCACTGTAATTTTATGTATTTTATGTCTCTAAAACATTATTCTGAGGTGTCCATAGGTTCAACCAGACTGGCAATGATTATTAAAGAAAAAAGATCCAAGACTGCCTGGAGTTCCTCAGTGGAGGAACTGCAATACCCCAGTTAAGATATGCCCACCTCGGATTCTTTAGCCCCTCCTATGGAGATTTCTGAATTCTGTGTCTCCCTTAAATAGGAGGAGGGCAGGATAACGGGTTCCCGAAAAGAGGTGAAGCTTCAGGGGCACAATGACACAGTATATGATGACAGTGAGTGCTAACTGGTGAAGGGAAGCACCAAGGCCTGGGATGGCCAGCACAGAGAAAACAGACTAAGCATTTCACTGCTAGAAGGGGAGATGAGAGGAGTGGACACATGCAAGACATTGTGTCTGAGAGTAATTAGTAAATGGAGAACCTGGGGAGCCCTTAATAAGTAGAGATCTTACCTCACAGAAGAATTCATTGCCACGAAGCCCACAGAACCATGAGATCCATGATACTTCCTCTGAGCTACTCATCTTTACGTCAGCTGAGGGAAAAGAGGTTAGCCTGGAGGGCGAAAGGAAAGCCTCTCTCCAGAGCGCTCCATCCCTCTGACATTCTCTGCCTCCCCCGGCCCCCCTTCCGGAGGCTCACCATTCCCCTCTCCAGGCTCACAGTTATGGGGAGCCTTGCTCTACATCCAAGTGAGAACTCCTCTCCAGCCTCTCCCCCACCCCGCGCCCCCAAAGCTTCTCCATCGCTCACCTTGTTGGTTGAGCCTTTTCTTCTTCCCAAGGCTCAGAAAACCCGTGTCCCTTCCCTCTCTCCCTCCCCCTTGTGTGTGTGTGGGTAGGGGGGCTATCCAGGCCTGGCTCAGGCGCCCTCCTCACACCCCCTTACTGACCCCCTCGACTGCCCCGAGGGCCCTCTCCTCCCCCCGGGAGGCCGGGCCCCAGCCAACTTCCGCAGGGCCGGTTCCCTGGGCTGCTCCCTCCTAGGGCGGCCTCGGGTCGCTCAGCCCCTCTCCCCGAGACTCCGGAGCTTAGGGCTTCTCTGCGGAGGGCCCTCGGCGTCTCCGCGCACCCTGGGTCCGGGACCACCTTGGCCTCCACTGCCCTTCCTTAGGACCTCTCCCTCCCCAAGGCCAGGCGTCCTCAGGTCCCGCCCCCAACGTGCGGAGGGGCGCCCTCCGACTCACCTACCGGGCCGGGGCTGGGGAGGGAGAGGGAGAAGTTGCTCCCAGGGGCGGCGGCGGCAGCAGCAAAGCCGCGCAGCGAAGGCCGCGGACCCGACCGCGGCAGGCGAAGCGGTGGGGGGGGGGCAAGGGGGAGGGGAAGGGGGAAGAGAAACGGGAGGGCGGGAAAGTACGCAGAGCGCAGGCGCAGGAGGTCAGGCTACCCCCGTGGAAGACGGGATATGGAGTCCCGGAACAGTAGTAAGGAAGGGCTAAGAATACGACTCCGGAAGACACCCTCGCCCCTGCCCTCTCGCTGAAATAGGGCAGGGGGCGGGGCCACAAAGGGGGAAGGACTGGAGGATCTCAGCTAAGACGCTGGAAACAGGCTCTCGAGATCGAGATTAACGCTAATGAACTTGGGAAATGTAGTCCTCGTGCCCACAGAGGGCAAGACCCAGACTAAGTAAGGTTGGAGAGTCTTTCTCCTACACATCTTAGAGCCGAACCAGACTGGGACTAAGTAGGTTTGGAGCGTCTTTCTCCTACACATCTCACAGGTAGGGTACCTACAATAACGGTCTAGTTCGTCAGCCTATATTCAATCTACTGCAAACCTCCTCAGTCATCCGTCATTCCTCACCCATATTCCCAATCATTATCTCCCCTTTTCTCACAACCCTCATCCCCCTAACTAGCCTTCATCATCCCATTCTCCTCAATCATCCTTCATCATTCAGTATTTTAACAAGCAGTTATTTATTAAACGCCTGTTATATTCAAGGCGCTGATGGGGGTGGGATTACAAAAGAAACCATAAAAACAGTCCCTGTAAATGTAAGGTGCTTCCATTCTACGGGGGAATATTCCAGTATTCTCTTCGGTCTGTGATCTCATGTAGGTATTCCTCGACTCCCCCGTGAGGTACATGTACATAAATACAAGATAATTTGAAAGAACATTAAAATCTAGGAGGATAAGGAAAGGCTTCCTGTAGGAGTTGGCATCTGAGTTGAGCCCTGAAAGAAGCTGAGAATTTGGGGCAGCTAGATGGTGCAATGGATAGAGTACTGGTCCTGGATTCAGGAAGACCTGAGTTCAAATGTGCCCTCAGACACTTGACACTTACTAGTTGTGTGACCCTGGGCAAGTCACTTTACCCAAGAAAAGAAGCTAAGAATTCTGAGAGATGAAAGTGAGGGAGTACATTCCAGAGATGAGGGACTATTTTCCTGTGCATTTTCCTAAGTGGGGTTGGAGAATCTTTCCCCTACATATCACACAGGTACAGTATCTATCATAATGCTTCTCAGTTTATTCTTAAGCTTTAATTCTTAATATTTAAAGGCACAGCATATCCCAGAAGAAGGGAAAAGGTGGAATGCCAAATTCAGAGAAAAGCAAATAGGTCAGTTTGACTGACACAAGAGTGAACAGAGGAGAGTAGTGTGAAATAAATCTGAAGAGGTAAATTGAAGCCAGATTGTGACTTTAAATGCTAAATTGAGGAATTTTATCCTAGAGGCAACAGTAAACCACAGAGCTTTCTTGATTAGGAGAGTGCCATGTTCAGACCTGTGTTTTAGCAAGACTTTTTTTGCTTCTATGTTAAAAATTGGAGAGGAAACAAATTAGAAGCAGAAAGAGCAACTTGGAGACTATCACAATAGTCAATAGAGTTTATTCATCAGTGTTTTTGTCTTTGTATCCCAGTGCCTAGTCCGGTGCGTGGTACACTGTAGATGCTTAACAAGTGTTTGTGGAACTAATTGATATAAGACTTGGAATTTGGGAGAGAGATTAGGGCTAGATATATAGATTTGAGAGACCTTTGTATAAAGATGATAATTGAACCTTTGGGAACTGATACAAAGAAATACTGTAGAGAAAGAAAAGAGGATCAAGACAGAGCCTTAGGGGGAACACCCATGCTTAGTGGTTTGAACACCTATGATGTTCCAGCAAAGGAGACTGAGGAGTAGTCATTCAGGCAGGAAAACCAGAAGAGTACAGTGTGATGAAAGCTAAGTTGAGAGCAAGTATTTAGGAAGAGGGAGTGATGAACAGTGTCCGAAACTGAGAGGTTAAGAAAGATAAGGACTGAGAAAAGGCCAATGGACTTATAATTTATAATTAAGAAATTGTTAATAACCTTGGAGAGAACAGTTTTGGTTGTGGTAGTGAGAGATATATGGAAGATTTTTTTCCAGGAGGTTGGCTGTGAAAAGGATAAATATAGGATGATAGCTTGAGGGTGTGCCAGGGTCAAGTGAGGGTTTAGGGAAAGATGGGAAAGGCCAGAGCATGTTTGGAGATAGGGGGAAGGAGTTAGTGGGTAAGAAGAATTTGAAGATGAGAGAGGCAAGCTCCTGGAAGAGATAAGATGAAGGGTACAAGTTGAGAGAGGGTTGGCAAGGAGAAGGGGTGCTTTCTTATAAGGAGAAAATGGGGGATAATTGAGATGGTTGGTTTATAGAATAGGTGAAGGCTCGCTTCTATTTTCTCAGTAAAGCATGAAGGCGTTCCCTCATCCCATCTTCCCTCATCACCCCTCCATCATAGGCATCTCTCTCCCCTTATCCAACTTCATTACATCCATCTTTTATCTCCTCCTCCAAATTGCTAATTAGCATCCCCTATTCCCACCTCTCCACAAATCACCCCATATACCAAGTTAGCCCCTATACCAGCTCTACCAAACAGATCCCCATGTCCACCCTCCTCGAGGGCACTGGGTGACCAGGTTTCTTCTTTGCCCCTTCTCTCCAGAGACTGGAGGTGGGATGGCACTAGGGACTGAAAGGGTTTAACCCCAACCTTCAGTTAAAGGGCTTATCATGGGAGGGGGCCGCTAACCTGAGGTGGCACCTGCCATCCTGTTAGTTGTCCCCTTGCCCTTCTCCATTCCTCCTCCACTCCTAGGGGTTAGGCTGGGCCTGACGCAGGACAGGGCTCTATGTATAGCCCTCAAATGCTGGTTGTACTAAGAGTGAGAAGCAACGTGGCCCTAATTCACATTTAGTCTTGGCTATACCCTGCAGGCCTGTGCCCACCTTCCTTGGGCAGCTGACTCCACTGAAATCCCGTCTCTGGCCCCAGGAAATGAGCTTCGGGGGCCACCTTGGGAGGAGCGAGGGGCATTGTGGGGCGTTATGCAAACGAAGAACCCTAACGGCCCGCTCCCTCCCCTCCCCCACGGCGGCCTTCGCACCTCTGGGCACGCGCCTGCCTCGCGCCACCAAGCAATTCGAATCAACCCCGGCTGCTAAGAGGCGGAGAAAAGGCGCAAAATAAGCAGGACGTAGGCGCAGAATTCTGTGTGTTTATGTGTATGGGTGTGCCTGTCGGTCGGTCTCTCTTTCTTTTTTCCACCCTCGCCCCGCTCCGGCCGCCGGTCCTACGTCTTGCAAGCTTATAATATAGGGGCTGCCCAGGCGGCGCGCTTCAGGTTGTCCTTTGATTCCAGACCGCGCCATTTTCTTCGCAATAAGACTGTAGTTTGACGCAGGCGCATTCTCTTCTCAGTTACCTGTTTCCGTAGTGTTTTCTGCGCCGGCGCCATGTGTGTGGGTGTCGGAACCGAATTTCAGCCTGCCTCTGGTTGCTACCCGGACTACAAGTCGCCGTCGAGTACTAAGCATAGGGAATTGGAGCTGGGGATGTAGGGAGGAGGCCTATCGCTATCATTTTGTGATTGCCGGTCGCGGACATATCTCGGTGGGGGGCGGGGGCTTTGACTCCCTTTGCTGCGTTAGTTTAAGGATGACCCAGTGGGCGTTTTAGACCGAGAATGTTCGGTCCGTGTTGTCCCGGTAACAGCTCCTGAGGGTGGCTGGCCTGAAGTTCCCCCACCCCGGCAGTCATGACCCTCCCCGCCTTCATCGCTTTCACTCCGGCCCGGGACTCGAATGACCTCTGGAAGGACGGGCGGCAGCAGCCGGAGCCGGAGCCCTCGTTGGATGGTGCCGCCGCCCGGAACTTCTATGAGGCCCTGGTTGGGGTGGAAGGAGGCGCCTCCAGAGGGCCCCCGGGACCCTCGTGGGCGCCTCCCAGGGGGAGAAAACGGACGCAGAAGACTAGGCCGGAGAGGGCCGGGGCAGCGGCGGGAGCGCCTGCGGCCAGCGCCCAGAGCGATGGGGCCTGGGACCGGCAGACCGCGCGGCTCCTGCGGGCTGCCCAGGCCGGGGACGTGCGGCAGCTGCGCGCCCTGTTGGAGCCCCGAGGCCCGGGGGCCCGTGGGGGTGATATCAATGCCCGTGACGCCTTCTGGTGGACCCCGCTGATGTGCGCCGCCCGGGCGGGGCAGGGGCCGGCCGTGCGCTACCTGCTGGCGCGAGGAGCCGCCTGGGTGGGCGTCTGCGAGCCCGGAGGCCGCGATGCCGCGCAGCTGGCCGAAGAGGCCGGCTTCCCCGAGGTGGCCCGGATGGTCCGAGAGAGCGGCGGAGAGGAGAGCCCCGAGAGCCGGTGAGTGGGCAGCCCCCTGCCACTGTCCCAGTCAGGCCACAGAGAAAGTCCGGTGACCCTCCCTGCGCTGCTGGAGCTCACTGCCTAATGGGGAAAGACCCGAACAAACAGCTGCATGCAAATAAGCCGTGCATGGCGTAAACTGGAGTTGATGAGAAAGAGGGAAGGCGCTAGCATTAAGGGAGATGGGGAAAGGCTTCTTGTAGAAAGTGGGGTTTTAGCTGGGACTTGAAGCCATGAAGTGGAGATGAGGAGGGAGAGCATTCCAGGCCTGGGACACAGCCAGAAAAAAATGCCCATAGTCTGGAGGAGTGTCTTGTGAGAGGGACAGCAAGGAGGCCATTATCACAGGAGGTCAGAGAATGTGGAAGTGAGGAAGGTGTGGGAAGCCTAGGAAGGGAGGAGAGGGGTTGTCAAGGGCTTTGAATGCCAAACAGGATTTCAAGTTTATCCTGGAGATGATAGTACTGGATCTTCCTCCTCTTCTCACTTCTGTCTAATTCCTAAGGTTCTTGTGAGGATCAAATGAGATAATAGTTGTAAAGCATTTATAGCACAGTGTCAGGCACATAGTAAGCTTTAGAAATGTTAGCTTTTACTATTATTACATTATTATTACAATATTCTACCCCACCTCATTAAAGAGTGGATAGTCAGTAATGCCTAGCTTCCTTTCCACCCAGGGATCCTGATTGCTTGAGATGGTTCTCTATGGCAGCAGGGCCCTGGTTTCTAAGAGTGGTGAGAGAGTATACCCTAGAAATATGGCTTAGTAAGACCTGGTAATCTTTTTCAGTCCCAGAGCTGAACCAACCTTAGGGCTCCTCGCCAGTAATCCATTCTTCGAAGACTTATTAAATGTCTGTAAAATCTAAGGCTCTGTGTATGCTGCGGTTGGGTACACAAAACTATGCAGATTTCCTGGAGGAGCTTACAGTCTACTGGGGACTGATGTGATATGATATGATATGATATGATATGATATGATATGATATGATATGATATAATGCTGTACTTTACTGCCTCTTGACTTGGGAAAGTCAATCTGTCTGTGCCTGTGTTCCTCATTTGTAAATTAGAGAGTGGGGTTGAACTAGATAGCTTCTAAATCTCCTTCTAGCTTTAAGTCAGTGATTGTGCACAAGTGTTTTACAAAGTTGAATGAAAGGCTCAAAAGAGCTCCAGAGTGCTTTAGGAAAGTTAGAGGAAGAAACACGCTCAGTTGTGTGATCAGTATTCATGGGAGAGGTAGCAACTGAACTGGACCTTGAAAAGAGGCCCACCTTCACTATTTCTTCTACCTTTTTTTCCCCCAGGCCCTGCTCTCCATTGCCAAAATACTGTGAGACTTGTAATTCCCATTACCGAGACCCTAATCACAACAGTTCTACTGCTCACCTCCTGTCTCTGTCACGTGGGCCTCAGCCACCCTACTTGCCTCCAGGAGTCCCTGCCTCTAGCCCTGGCTTTCGGTTATTAGTAAAGGGGGGTTGGGAGCCTGGATTGGGACTGGGGCCTCGGGGTGAGGGGCGAACTGCTCCTATTCCTACAATCCTCAAGAGAGACCAGGAAGGTTTAGGATATAGGCCAGCTCCCCAACGCCGAGTCACACATTTCCTTGCTGGGGACCTTCAGGCTGTGGCTGAAAGAAAACGAGCACCCCGAACTGCCACTTTGGGCAGGAGAGAGGAGAGGCACCGAGAGGAGAAGAGTCGAGCTTGGGAGCAGAATCTACGGACTTATATGAACCTTGATCTCTAATCCTGACTACATATATACATTGTGATTTCTGATCATAGCCTCTTTGGAGACCTATGACTACACCCAAGGATGACATCTGACCCTGAACTTGGAATTTCAGTTCAGAACTTGGAATCTTGGATTTTCTATGTTTAGTTTGATTTAGCCTTTGCTGGAGGGAGATTGCAAAGGTTGATTCATCCTTGCTTAAAGTAGAGAAATAAACCTTTTCTTTTTGTTGTTTGTTTTGTGATGTTTTTCTTTGGAGGGGAGTGGGGCAGGTTTGAGGGATAGTGGAATTTGGGACTCGGGTGGCAGGGAAGGGGCAGCAGTAAGCTCAGACTGAGTTATCTTCCACTGTCTTGGCTATCTGTTTTAGGATTTAGAGCTGGGAGAGACTTCAGAGATCATCTCATCCAATCCATTCATTTTTACTGAAGGGGAAATTGGGAAACCAGAGAGGCCAATTAACCTCAAGTAATCAATAAACATTTTAAGTGCCTACTATGTGCTAAGGACTGTGCTAAGTAGTTCCTTAGTTGTCTCTAGGATAAAATACAAACTCTTGGCATTTAAAACCTTTTCCTATCTGGCTTGAACCTATCTTTCCAGACTGATCTTATATTACTTTTCAGCCAAACTGGCCTACTTGATACTCCTCATGTGCAACATTTCCAGCCTCTCTGCCTTTGCAGGCAGTACCCCCTACCTGAAACATTTCCATCCCCTCTTGCCTCTTAGAATCAATAGCTTCCTTGTAGGCTCCACTCAAGTGCCAGCTCCTATGAGAGATGTTTCCTGATTTTTCCCATTTATCAGCATATTTCCTTTCTACCCCCAACAAAATATTTTGTATAAATTTTCCATCTACTTACATGTACAAATTCTTTCCCCTGAGTAGAATATAAGTGCATTAAGGCCAAGGACTGGCTTATTTTCATCTTTGTACTCTAAGCACCTAGCATAGCACCAACTAAGCAAGCTTAATAAATTTATTTGGAAATGAATTTATCCTTATTTCTTTTATCCTTAAGAATTTCATATTATCAGATTCAGGACAATTCTCTGACCTGTTTAGCTTTTGGATTCTAACTGTTATCCAATGTTAGGCTATCCTCAGCACTGTGTGATCCTCAAAAATGATTGTGCCATCTATGCCTTTATCCAAGTCATTGATAAAAATGATAAACATCACAGGGCCAAGCCAGCCATTTGACCTCTTCTGAATCTCTCTGATTGTATCTGTAGAAGTCATCTAATCTGGAACACATCTCTCCATCTCCCTCTCCCCACCTACAAGAATACTGTGGGATATTTTATTAAATACTTTGATAGAATATAGATGTAATTTACTTAGATTTTTGAGAAAACAGAGTAGACAGGAAAGAAATATCACATGAGCTGCTACTTGGTAGACACCACTCTTGCTGCTGCCCCACCTGGAAGACGCTGATGAGAAGCAAAGAGAAGGAGATTAAGTATTTTGAGCAGAAGAGATGAAAATGGAATGCTTTCCAAGAATTAGGAAAGACTAGGGAAGGACTGTTCAACCTAGTTTGCCCATAACTTGGCGGGGGGGGACCTGCCTTAGACCCTGTGAAGGTACTAATGTGAGATGAGTCTGGAAAGATAGTTTTGAGCCGGATCATGGAGAGTCTTGAATGCCAGGCAGGCAAAGAAGTTTGTGCTGGCAGCTGGCCAGATAGTGGAGCCCTGGTTATAATACTCAGTTGGGCTAGTTGTCTAACAAGCTGTCCCAAGCTTTATTGACTAAGGGTCTCAACATAGGATTTCTATATGAGCTATAACTCTATAATTCTGTGCTCTGTTAATTTAGGGTTGTTTTGTTTGTAAACCTTATGTTTGAGGAACCAGTGATGTAAAGATCTTGAAGTAGATTCAGATGGTTACTGCTCAATAGAAACTGGGAGCCCAAAAGGATGATTCCAACCTGAATTGAACCCCTGTATCACATAAGTGTAGTCAACAAAATAAATTCCCACTTTGGTCACATCCAAAACTGCGTTTCTTATGTATGTTAGTTCATCACCTCTCTTGTCATGGATTAGGCAGCATTCTTCTGGAGTCATGATTTAAGTCTTTCAAAGCGTTTTTGTAATGTTCTATTTCTCAGTCTCTTTTACTGGGTCATAATTCTTATATCATGCCCCCTTGATGCAGTTTTGGGAGGTTCAGGAACCCCTCAACCTAAGTACAGGACAGGGTCATCTGGAATGAATCCATGGACTCAAGCATTTTTGAAGTCAAGTTGGCAAGAGTTTATTATAACGCTAATATTGTAGGCAGAGCTCCTTAGGGAACTTGCAACCTAACAGGAATGATGTAAAGGTTATATAGGAAAAGTAGTGGATAATTTGCCAAGTGTGCTAATTAGGTGATAACATACAATCTTGGTCACAGGCTCATTCACTACTGGAAACCAGTGGGGCAGGGGGAAGAGGGTTCCTAAGGGGTGTAGGGGTGTATTTTTGGTCTGTTATGTCTGTAACAGAATAGCTTCGGGAGTTGATGTCTATAATTTGACATCTGGATCATACACAATAACTGTGGGAATCAGTACGATATAATTTTGTTGATGCAAGATAGTACAAGGGAAATTCCACAGAGGTCAGCTTGTTCTTGTAACAGGGAGAGAGTGAGATAGTTTACCACACTGGGCCCACTCATGAATTATTGCCAGAGATATGGTCTTTGAGCTGGGGAGAAAATTGTCAGGGATAGTGTTTTGAGGCTAGGGAGAAATATGATCTCGGAAGTGGGATCTGAGTACAGGCACCTCATCACCCTAACTGAAGGTGTACCTCGAAGCTTTTAGACCTTCTCTTGTTTCTATACTAACTCATTTGGTGACCTCATCAGCTTTCCATGGGTTCAATTTTTTCTTGCTAATGACTTCTGGAAGTATAGTCCTAGTCTGGAGTCTCACATTATCAGCTGCCTTGGAGATATTTTGACCTGGATGTCCTGTAGACATTTTGAATGTCACCTGTTTAAAACAGAACTAATTATCTTTTCCACTCCATAATCCACTTCTCTTCCAAACTTCCCTGTTTTCATCAAAGGTACCATTATTCTTCTGGTCACTCAGATTTCCAACCTTGTGGTCATCTTTCATTCCTTGCTTTCCTCACCCCACAGCCAATAATTTGCCAAATCTTGTTTCTATCTCAACATGTCTAGAATTCCTCCCTTTCCCTGTACACAATCACCTCCCTATTTTAGATCCTCATCACCTCTCAAGTGACTCCTAAATGGTGTCTCTGGCTTAAGCTTCTCTTCTCTCTAATTCATCCTTCTTAATGCTACAAAAGCTATTTTTCTAAAGCATTTATAACTATGTCATCCCCCTACTTAGTAAACTCTAGTGTTTACTGTTACCTTTAAGATCAAATATAAATTCTCTTTGGCATTTAAATTTCTTCACAAACTGACCTCAACCTACTTTTTGAACCTTATTATACATTATTTCCTTCATATTCTCTACTATCCAATCTAACTGACCTGCTTATTGTCCCTCACACATAATGCACCATCCCTTGTCTCTGTGACTTTGCAGTGGGTGGTCCTCCTCCATGCCTGGAATCTCTTAGAATCTCTATTTACCTTAAAAACTTACCTCAAGCACAACCTTCTATATGAGGCCTTTCTTGATCCCTCTTAGATGCCAATGCCTTCCCCCTCCAAAGTACTGTGTATCTCTTTTGTATATATGTTGTCCCCCTTGTTGGAATGTAAGTTCCTTGAGGGCAGGGACTATTTCACTTTTCACTTTGTATTCCTAATACTGCTAAGTGCCTGGCACATAGTCAGTGCTTTATACATACTTATTAATCAATTTAAAAGATCAAAGAAGGTGGCTCAGTGCTATACTTGTCAACTCTCCCTTATAGCTATAGGAAATAAAGAACAATGCTTTTTATTGAGCCACCAAGGCAGAGTACTGGATTATTTCTTTTTTTGTTTTTATTTTTGTTTTTCTTTGTTTGTTTTTAGGCAATTGGGGTTAAGTGACTTGTCCAGGGTCACACAGCTAGTGTCAAGTGTTTGGTCTGAAGCCGGATTTGAACTCAGGTCCTCCAGACTTCAGGGCCGGTGATCTATCCACTGCGCCACCTAGCTACCCTGGGTTATTTCTTCAACAAATATTTCCTTCCTCTCCTTTCCCTTTTAGGTTAAAGCCCTTTTGATTTGATCTTAGGAATCCAGGAAAATGCATTTTTTAGCAACCCTGTTAGATATACTACAAGTCAGGCCAAGATATATTTTCCTATGTTATAAAACATGGTGGAGAATTCCAAAACCCATTCTCAGACACCATCTTCTTTACTAGATGTCTGCTTCCCAAATCTGCCTTTCTCTTCTGAAGCCATGGTATTTGATTGGCATTTGTGATGAAGACACTACTTAGGCCCCTCATGTCTTCAGTTTTGTCCCCAGTACCTCATAATCTTTAGCAATGGTTTCCAGATTATTTCCGGCAGTGTCATTTGTGCCCCCATGCATCACCAGAAGTGGGTAGTAGCCAACAGGTTTGATAGGTCTTGTAAAGTAACATGTACCGAAGGAAGACAGGGAAATAACGTCCTTGGTATCTATCAGCAGTGAGTCAATAACCATTTTACTTATCTTTTTACTTTGATGCTTACCAGATTCATTCTCAATATCGCTTGTAGATCCTCATCAAGCATACATCAAGCTTATCCTTACTATCTCTCACCCCACATATCCAATCTGTTACCGAGGCCTGTCAGTTTTACCTTTGCAATATCTCTTTAATACACACCTTTCTCCCCTCTGACGCTGATGGTGATAGTGCAGGCCTCTCATCATGTCTGTATTATTGCAATAGCCTGTTATTGGGTCTGCCTGCCTCAAGTCTCTCCTCACTCCAGTTCATCCTCCATTCAGCCACTAAAGTGGTTTTCCTAAAGTGCAGGTCTGATGTTAGCTCTTCTACTCCATAAACTCCACTGGCTCCCTATTGCCACCAGGATCAAATACAAAATGCTTTGTTTGGCATTCAGATCCCTTTATAACCTAGCCCCCTCCTTTCCAGTCTCCTTACCCCTTACTCCCTAACATGTACTCCAGTGACATTGACCTCCTGGCTGTTATAGGAAGAAGACTCTCCGTTTCTCAGCTCTAGGCGTTTTCTCCCTAACATGTACTCCAGTGACATTGACCTCCTGGCTGTTATAGGAAGAAGACTCTCCGTTTCTCAG